AAATAAAAAATTCATTTATCTGGGAAACTATTAGATCTAAAATCCTCAAATTTTGCACGAAGAACTTTGACATTCATTTTAATATTTGGGTAATAAATTGGCGGACTAGCAATATGGGAAGTAGCACTTCTCATATGAATTAAATACAAAAATTCGTTTATCTAGAAACTATTAGAGGTAGAATCTTAAAATTAACACAAAAGTGAACATTTGGAAGTAAAATATGCGGACATTCATTTGGGGTTCTTGGAACCTTTCATATGAATTAAATAAAAAAATTTGTATATCTGAGAAACTTGCGCTAACAACCCTGACATGTGAATATTTGAATTTAGAATCCTACAATTTTGCAGAAAGAATTTTCACATTTATGTGAACATGGGAGGTACCATATCCCTATTGTGGACTATCAAAAGGGGCTATGGTACCTCCCATATGGATTAAAATAAAAATTTGTATAACTGGGAAACTAACAGAACTAGAATCTTCAAAAATCAAAAAGTGCGGTTTTTATTTATACTGTTTTTAGGGTAGCAAAGCACACTGGGTATAGCTAGTAAATTTATATTTTTGATATAAAATCGATTTGTATGAAAAATATGAATGATTACGGATCTTTATTGTTTTCTCGAATTGAGAGTTATTTAAAGTAAATTTTTAAAGAGTAATATACATAAATGGAAAATTTAAGGGGCGATATGAATGATTTTCTAGATTGATTTGTAGATTTAAGTTTAAAATTCGAATTTTTGTGAAAAATGAATGAATATATTATATATTCTATTTTAGTAGCTGCATACAAAAGTGGCATCGTAGACATTCATAGGAAACTACATCCGATTCTCTTTTAAAATTGTTTATTTCTGAGGATATACAGCAGATTACAGATTTTAAAATAAAAGTTTTCCGATGGAAATTATAAGTGATAGGTAATATATACGGATCTACAATAATATAACTTTGATAATAAATTTCCTACATCCGATTCTGTTTTAAAATAGTTTTTTTGAGGATATACAGCGGATTACAGATTTTGAAATAAGAATAGTTTTCTACAACCGATTTTACGCTTTAAATGAAAAACTATTTTTGATAATAACTTAAATTGATTACAGATTTTTATTTTACCTAATCGAAAAGTAAGTTAAGGACCTACAAACATTTTAGAGTTTTCAAATAAAAATAAATTTTTTCTCATATACTATAAGAAGTATATATTTTACCTAATCGAAAAGTAAGTTAAGGACCTACAAACATTTTAGAGTTTTCAAATAAAAATACATTTTTTCTCATATACTATAAGAAGTATATATAATAATCATTATAAAAGTAACAAAAAATGGACGGAAAAAGGTCATTGCATTTCATTAAGATCACAACAGGCCCGAAATTAGAAATTTGGTTTTATAGCTGTTATTCTAAAAGTGAACATAAAAATGTGCGTAGCATCCAATCAATATCATATAAAGTCACTTTTAACTTCTGAGGTTAGACCTATTAATATGACGAATTTTATGTAAATCGGTTTAGTAATTATATAGTGAAAGAGTCTCATATACATACAATATTTTTTATTATATATTATACGTTTTGAAGATGTAATGTGTCGCACTATTCATTCCACAACATTCATTATAACAGATTTCATGCAAATCGGATTAGTACTTTATGCTTGAACGAAAATTTACCAAAAGTTGGCGTAAAAAGGGGCGTGGCGTGCGATTCAATCATGATTTTATATAGCCTATTGTTCCACTTTAGAATAGAACTATTAGTGTTCTAAATTTCAAGTAAACCGGTTCAGTAAGTAGTTTGGCCGTGAAAGCGTAACTAACAGACAGTCTCTTTCATATAATTATAGGATAGTATATAGGTAAGGATAGTTTTATAAAAAGTGGGCATAGAAGAGGGCGGGGCATCGTATCAAGATTTTATATATAGCCTATAGTTCTTTCCGAGCTTATACCTATCGGTATGCAAAATTTCAGGTAAATCGGTTTAGTAGTTTTTGTATATTGTGATTGCAAAATTGTTATAATAGTTTTACAAAAACTGGGCGTAAAAAAGGGCGTGGCATCCGATCATGATCTTATATAGCCTATTGTTCTTTTTGGGTTTAGACCTATTAGCGGTCAAAATTTCATGTAGTTTCAGTAGTTTTGCCGTGAAAGCGTAACAAACAAACACACAAACGAACAGTCTGTGTGTGCTTTGCTACACTAAAATAAAAAAACACTACGATTTTGAAGATTCTAACTATGTATAATAGTTTTCAGATATACATTTTTTACATATTGGGGATGCCACGCAAATTATTGCAAGTTCTCCAATTTTTCTAAGCGTTAATTTAGAGTTTAATGTAACCTATGAAAAATTTGAATAATATAATAGTTTCCCAGATATACGAAATTTTGTTTTTAATTCATATTTTCATTTATTCGAACGATTAATCGCCAAAAATTGATCGATTAACCGATCGACGATTAATCGTTTGAATACCCTAATATATAGTAAATATATCTTTTTCTGAAAAGTTCGTATTTCTTGTCAATAATCTATTATAAACAAAAATATAAAATTAAGAAACCCGAATCAACGAATATTTTATCCAAATGGTACGCAACGAAAACAAACAAAATTACGCCCAAATTGTACAGTGCTGCCAAGTTAAACAAAAAATAGCACAATAGTTAATGTAGGATTATTATTTGTTTATACAAATCACAATATTATTAATGGTTTTTAAGGATTAAGTGTGCTTTAACTGTTGTTTACGCGTTTTTTTTTTTTCATTTGTAATTATTTATTCATAATGGAATAATAATGTGAAGTCAATTCTACAAAAACAATAAAAGTTGTATACTTATGTCAAAAAGTGCATATGTTGCCAGAGCGGTCTTTTTAATATATACCGTAAATAAAGAAAATCCCACATGCGCGAAATTTCACTACATAAAACAAATATATACATATTACATTTAAAATATGTGTATATACATCTGAATTTGCTACAAATACACCACTTATTATCGTGAAGAAGGCATTATAATACATTAAATAATTGTTTTTTAATTATACTATATACATATGTAATCAATTCAATTGCCAAAAAAGTATACTATTAGACTAAAAATATAATGGAAATGTGGAAATTTTGTTTTTTATTACTACAATTTTAACAGTTTTTTAAAGATATAAACGATTACTCATTTAATTACAAATTTAAATTATTTTGATATACTGAAAATTAATTAATCCCTATGTAAATTAATGATTTTTTATGCATTTGGCAACTAGAAATGGTGCATTTGTTGTATACAACTTTCATTCTTCTTCTATTGACACTTTCCTCAAGTGAGATCGTCATTCATTGGAAAAGTCAACCGTAAACATGTTTCTTAATTGTGGTCTTTACTAAAGTATTTTGTATAATAAAGCGTGAGGTCAATACCACGGGTAGACTTCGCATTCTACATTTTTTATGAGATCGTTAATAAAAAATAATCAAAAGAACCGATCGATGTCCGAACAGTCAAATAAGAGGTGATCAGGCGACTGAACTTCACCACACGAGCAAATATTGCTTACGACAATGTTTATTTTTTAAACATGATCTAAACATCTCGTGTGGATCAGCATACATGTAATATATCTTGGAAGAGTGGAACCACTGATTGAGAGTCACCGCCACAAGATCAACATACTCATTGCCCTCAATTCCCATGTGATTGGATATCCATAAAAATTGTATGTATCTTAAATTAAAAAACTTTGCCCAAATCTTATATATCAGAAGACTAGTCCGGCTGTTAGTGAACGATTGTATAGCCCGCAAAACCGACATACTGTCGGAAATAACCACAAACTACCACAGTTCCACTAGGCGCAATGCCTCGAAGACTGCCACAGCTTCTGCCGTAAACACAGATTGGGATTGGGTTAAAAACGAAACATGCTTCAATATCTTGATCCGGAAACCATTCACCGCTTCCCAGAAATCCGGGGGCCTTTGAGCCGTCGGTATATAACCTACGATATAAAGCAAGTTTATCCAATGCCTAGTGCTCAAAAGTTACTTTTTATCCTGGCTTTATCAATTGGGAGATATTTCACAATGGGTGTTAGAAAAAGTTATTTGAGGAATACAGAATACATTGGATGAACACTAGTCTCAAACATATCATGGGAAAAATACTTGTTAAGAAATGTTGTGATGTATGTGGACCTGTCTTTGTTATTTGACAATTGAATAATAATATGGCGAGCAGGGTGGCGCTTATCGGCCACGATCTTGTTGATCGTGCCATCAGCCATAAATGCAAGTCGATGTGGCAGCTATATTACATTAGCCATTTGCTCCAGAACCAGGGTATTGCCCCTTAAGCTATCCTCAGACATTTTCACTGTACTCTCTCAAGCCTTAACATATAAGACGCTGGACAGTCAAGAAGTGTATAGCTATGTACTCCAAGATCCATCAAACCGAGCGTGGTAAGTACTTGCATCAAATGCCATCATCGTTTAAAATAATTAGTTATAATGCTAATAAAGAATTGAAAATCATTACTTTTCCATGTAATTTTTTTTCTGGGAGGTGCTACTGGTGCAATAATGGGACATAAAGTTTTAAGTTTAAATGATGAAACAGAACACGACCGCAAAAAAGCAAAAACATTGTTAAAACGACATTCGCCCATAATTAAAGCTACGGCAGATATTCTTATATTTCTTTTATTTTCGTTGCATATTTACATGGTAATGAAATATGGTAAGCCCCAGTTCTGTTTCATCATTAAGCCTTAAACTATGACAAGATACTTGTTTATCTGTAAAAGAATATCAGTTATTGTTAATTGTTGCTAAAAAAAACTGTTATGTCTTTCTTTATGTTTCAATAGGCACAAAATTTGTTTCCTTTTCTGAAAAATTTTAAATTGAGTCACTTTTGAATAAGGTATGCGATATGTACATATATTTTAGTTGTTCAACAGTATACTTACAGTTCATATCAATTTGTACTACGGACTCCACAGGTGTTGCCCGAGGGTGATTGTTAGCCTTACATGTTATTCTGGAATTTAGATCTGCTCTACTAAGAGGTCCTATTGTTATTTCGCTCTGTACATATCTTTGACCTGGAACATAATTCATCTGCGAGTCAATAAGAACTTCATCTCTATACCAGCTTATTTTAGGAGAAGGTTTTCCTGTAAACATTTGTGTAATAAAAATACAATGTTAATTAATCTTTGAGTTCTTAATATTTTATTAACTTAATTTATAAATCTGTTTAAACACTAACGTTTGTATTTATAAAAAAATATTATTTTGCTTTTAAAGCTCACAATACACAGTGGTATAGGAAAAAAAAGAGGGAAATAATTCGGTAACTTCTAAACGGTTAATCCGATTTTAATGAAATTTGGTATGCACAAAGAGGAGGTGTTGTCGAGTTTAGCTTTTGAATTTGGACCTTATAGGCCAACCAGGGGCCCGGCGGGGGGTTCTCAAATTAGGACACCTCGGCTATGTTAAATTTTTAAAACGATCCTATATCTTCATTTGAGTTCCGATTTAAAACAAATTTCGTATATAGAATCTCCTCATCGAGCACTATAAAAAGCAGTAAATTATCTCTAATAGTTTAGGAGATATTCGCATTTGAAAATTAAAATTTTAAAATTTTTACCGTCCTTACTTTAGTTTTTTCATAATAGCGGGTCCAAATATTCCCGATTTTCGCCATTTTTTTTATTCGCTTAACAACAAGTTTATATATCAAGCAGTGAACGAATTAATTAAAAATCATAACTGAGTCCAAAGTTATAGGCATTTTAATTTAAAAAATTAAAAAAAGGCGATTTTTTGTCATTTTTTTGGGAAAAAGTATCTTTTTCTTTTTAAGTTATCTAAAAAGTTTCTAAGAAGATGTATATAGAATTTATACTTTTTGGAAAGCTGACTTTACATAAAATACGATAAATGAAACAAAACCTAAAAATTTTTGATACCGAGGAGACCAGGTCCATCCAAAAAAACCCTATTTTTTATGGAAAATTCAATTTTGAGCAAAAATTCTCAAATCGCATAGTCGATATCAAATTATAGTGACCTGTTTTATATGACCCAATATGTTCTTAATCATTTTGTAACGGGTTTCGATAACCCCGCCCCTGGTATGGATATAATAGGCAAAAAACCAAAAAATCCCATTTTTGGGATTTTTTAAAACTTTTTTGGGAATTCCGGAATTTCTAATAAGAAAATTCGAAATTTTTATTTAATTTTGGATTTTGAGTAAAAAAATCTACCTAACTGTAAAATTCATCAAAAATTATTCATAAATAAAATTTTTATTGCAATTTGAAAAATGTGTATCTTCGCAAAAACTGAATAAAAAACATTTTTTAATTTTTTTTAAAAAAAAGTATTCCGCAAATTTTTTAATTTTCAAAAATTATATACAGTTTTGAAAAATGGACAAAATTACCTTTCCATTGATATATAACATGCCTACCTAATGTTTTTTAAATGACAAATTAATTAGGGAAAACTCAACATCTTTTAGAGAATTTACCTAGTACTATTGTTTTCATCCATACATTTGTTAGGCATGTTTTACTACCTAAATTTTTAAAGCCACTTTTTACGATTAATCTTTTATTCTTTATCCCTAAAAAATTTCACTGCTTGATATATAAACTTGTTTTTAAGCGAATAAAAAAATGGCGAAAATCGGGAATATATTGTCAAAAAACTAAAGTAAGGACGGTAAAAATTTAAAAATTTTAAATTTCAAATGCGAATATCTCCTAAACTATAAGAGATAATTTACGAAATTTGTTTTAAATCGGAACTCAAATGAAGAAATAGGATCGTTTTAAAAATTTAACATAGCCGAGGTGTACTAATTTGACCACCCCCCGCCGGGCCCCTGGTTGGCCTATAAGGTCCAAATTCAAACCTAAACTCGACAACACCTCCTCTTTGTGCATACCAAATTTCATTAAAATCGGATTAACCGTTTAGAAGTTACCGAATTATTTCCCTCTTTTTTTTTTCCTATACCACTGTGTGTTGTAGAACATTTATTAAGAAAATCACGTCAGAGAGGATCCTTTCCCTCTTTAATGATGTTTTGCAAAAACATTTTTCAAAAACACATATTTTGACCGATTACGGAAAAATATTAATAAAAAAATATATATTTCTCAAATTTCATAAAACTACAAAAAATGTAGCAAAGGAACGCATAATAAGCCGTTTTTGCACATTTAGTTTGAATTTCTTTTATATGTTTTCCCTCTAGGGGTGGACTTTCGAATACACATATCTCTGAAACTAAAAAATCATCGTCGAAAATATTTTTACTTAAGAACGAAAAAAAATCAGACATAATACATCCCAGCAAAATCTTTGCTTACAATGATTACCATTAAGTACTTCATTAATGACTTACTTTGTAGGTAAAGTTAAAAAAAAATCAAAATAAAGAAACAAACAAAAATAAAACAGTTACTTTTTCTGTTTTTTTTCCTTTTTTGTGCACACGATATCAAATGTCTATTTTTAGACAAACAGAAAATAAAATAGTATTTGTGTGTGAAAACTATTATTTGACGCACAATAAAACAACAAAGCAGTGGTGTAGTAAGAGTAGCATTCAACTGGTACACGGAAGGTATTGAGTTCAACCCCAGTCTGTGTCGACTTTTTATTTTTATTTTTTCATAAATATTCTATAAATAACTCTACTAAAAAACAACTTATTTCCAACCAAATAATATTGACTTACTTTTGGAACATCTCAAACAAAAATAAGTACTTTTTCTAGTAGAATTGTAAGCACTTTACTCGATGAGTTTTGGTGATTTTTCTAGTGAATTTGTAAGCAAATATTTTGCTGGGATAATACATATTTCAGAAAGCTTAATCAGAAATGTTTTTGCTTGAGCACACTGAAAATAATCCATCGTAATATTTACAAAAATTTCGTGTATAATTCGAAATATTACTTAATAAAACCCTTTTATATTTTTACGAAAGTACGAAAACCTTTCGTAATATTTTTTCATAAATTTTAGCGAAATTAAACAAAATAATATTAAGTATATTATCATTAGATAAAACTACAACATTTTTATAAAATTTAAGAAAAAGTATAATATAATTGACGCACTATTTTCATAAAAAAAATTAAAAATTCGTGTGGAGAATAATTTTTAACTAATATTAGAAAAATAATTTTAAAATTAACAAAAATGTTTGCATAAATTAATATTTCGTAAATTTTACCATATTTATTAAAAATTCACTGTTTTCAATTTATGTAAATTATTTTTTTTTATTTTGCATTATACTAAAATATTTCGTACAATTTCGTATATGTATATTAGGCATGGATTTTTTTCAGTGTATAGACAATAATTAGTATTTACTCCCAAAAGTAGGAATTTTGTCTCTTTTTCATCCACATACCCATTCTTGTCCCTTCTTATCCAAGTTTTGGAAAAGCATATAGTATATCACACCATACACCTATATATCGAACTATGTTTCAAATTTAGTGTAATTAAAAACATTATGCACACGCTACAGGTCGCAATTTGCAAGATAATTTGATGAATTTGGCACATACTCTTCCAAGGACGAATCCTATTGAAAATGGTTAAAATCGGACCATTATTTTGCATAGCCCCCATACAATCGCACCCCCGAATATGGCTTTTGAGCTCATAAATATGTTAAATGTTCTTGTATCACACCAAAAATCTGCAAAACTAAGTTTTTTATAAGTTTTAATGACAGTGCTGAGTTTCGCAATGATTGGTCCTCATTTGATCACATCCCCCATATAATGTCCCCTTAATAAAAGTACTTGATGGTTCAAATTCACTTATAAACACTAATATTACGGCGATATTCTACATAAATAACTTTAATGTAGACGTTAATCCCTTTACCAAAATTCATAGGGATAGGCCCCTATTAACCACCTACCCCATATAACCCTCTTTCAGAAAATCCAATATGTCAATAAATTGTTAAAATATTTCTGAAATAAAGTAAAAATTAATTTAAATGTTTTATTATTAAAAACATAATCAACATTTGTAACGTAATCACTGATGTAGGGCATCATATCGTAAGCCATGATCAACTATAAATTTTTACTTGTTTATTTATTTGGTTTATTTATTCACTGCAGTAATTTGAATTGTCTGAAAATATGCATTTATTGAGTCTCTTTACGTAGTAAATACAGATTTCCCTTTTTTATCGGTTTTTTCCCCTAAGGGTGGGAGTTCTAAATATATGAACATATGTCTGAGACTATCAAAATCATAGTTTATAATATTTTGGCTTCAGAATAGAAAAAATTGTTCTTAAAGCACAAAAGTACTAATTTTGTCAGATTTTTAGCCATTTTTAGCCATTTAGCCATTTGGCCTATTTTTTTGTCCCCTTCCGGTCCAATTTTCGCAACGGCACTTTATTAATTTATATTTCTAACAAATTAAGTAGTTTAATCGAAAATGATTTTGCTTAAGGATAGACAAAATCAGTATTTACTATCAATAGTACTCATTTTGCCCGTTTTTCACCCATTTTACCCCCTTTTTGCCCCCTCCTAGTCCAAGTTCTGAGAAAATATATAGCCTATAACACTCTCCAAGTATAGATCTAACCATGAAGAAAATCGGTCCAGCCGCTTAGGCGTGATTGACGAACAAACAAACAAACAAACGAACAGACTTACAAAGAGATTTATAATGTATATTAGGATATTTGTTAAACATATTTAACACAACATTTAATTAACAAATATTTAAAAAGTAAACAAAATAATAGAAACAACATTTAAGAATCACGCACGCCTTTTGAGTCTCCATCTAAACGTTCATTATTTTACGAATGGCATTAAAAAATGGAGAAAAAACCCTGCAACATGACCCCTCAGCTAAAAGTGCTCTAACACATAAACAAGCTTTGACCAAATTTTGACGTGTTGCCATCACCCTTTAAAACATAAATAAAATCTGTAGAAAATCGCGAAGTTCTTTATAAGTTAAACAAAATGCTTACATTTAAAAAGTTTCGCATGTTACTTAAAGCGTATAATGCGAAAAATGCATTTATGGACCTACATTAATACACCAGGAAAATTATATAGCTTTCCCTTAGCATGTCAGATATTGGAGGTCAA